TCGAATTGCCAATCGCGATCTTGACCCTATCATATCAAACGAAATCGACAGCAAAATGTAATGGACGCATGCATCTCGTTCGACGGCGCTGAGCAACTAAACTGTTCGGCGGCCTTGAACAAAAAAGGCGCTACGGTGACCTCAGGCAGGAAACTTATGTCGTAGTACAGGCTCAACAGGACAGCCTTTAGGAATTCAAATATCACAAAAGCGGCGTAGAATCGTGCATATCCATCTTTTGGAGAGACCCAAACAAGCGTTAGCTCTCGTCATTATCGGGCGATACTTATCCGAACACTTATGCGTGCGACATTTTCCACATCTCTGCTGACGGCTTTCCGCCGGGTCTGGACTAACGGGATATGTTGGCTTTAACGACGAGTGTTTTCGGCTCCGTTTTATGCATGCAGGTAAACTATGCCTGAGTGGTGCCTGCTCCGAGATATGCATGTATTGCCTCAGCCTTTGACAGCGTCTCACTAGGGTTCGTTTGGATTTTCATTCAGGTGTTACCTCAGATGGTGCTGGGTTCTGAGAGAGCATGAGAAGAGCACTCCTGGCTGCCAGCTTACATGTGACGGTGAACAGCCTTGTCCTCGAAGCCGCAGTTTCAAAGGACGCGACAACAGATAAATAACGAGAAAGGATAACTGCTCTTGACATTTAGAAATTGGACAGACATACCCGCATCGGGAAAAATTGCAGCTGAATGACCGTTGCAAATTCCTGTTGCGTCGGAATTTGGTCACGTTAAGAGCTCATTTCACGCCGAAGCCATCTGCGCCCTGACTTACAGCTGATGACCACGAACACAGAGAAACGATATCTACTACTCGGGGCTGATGTGGTCTATTGACATTTTTATTAGAGAACCGCTTCCTGAGGACGCAATTGAAAACACGCAATGCAGTCAAGAAAGGTCATGCTGCATAATGCATACGCCGATATCATGCTATGTTCCCGTCGGATAGTCGGCGTGGCGCTGCTTTGTTGCGCCGTGACAGGTGCTCATTACAGTGGTGCGGCGGAAATGAAACTCACGTAACCCTGGCCGTTTGTGCGACGGCTGAGAGACAACTGTGATACCATGACCATGCGCGGCGATGTTGGCGCTAGACCGCTGTCGCATTCCTCTCCTACAGATGGCAATCCGAGTTAGGTTAGTCATCTGTCTCAGCCGAGGAATGGCGCTAAATTGTTTTGGATCGTAGTGACCAGGTGTTTGAAATGTGGTGTGTTGTACGGACGCGTAACCGAAAAGTTGTTTTATTTGCTGATTGGGCCTGCATAGTCATACAAGGCGAAGGGGCTTGTGGTAAAGCCGGAGAAGGCTAACCTTAAGGTTTCAAAGGCTACATAGCGACTACCTTCCTAATGGCCCAGGTTACTGTCATTCATCATTTCAACAGCCGTGCTAAAAAGATTTAACTTTTTTGCGTTCACAGATATACTCTCTGGCGGATAAATTCGATATCGTATCGCGATCAAATGCCCAATTATGTGTGTGTGTGTGTGTGTGTGTGTGTGTGTGTGTGTGTGTGTGTGTGTGTGTGTGTGTGTGTGTGTGTGTGTGTGTGTGTGTGTGTGTGTGTGTGTGTGTGTGTGTGTGTGTGTGTGTGTGTGTGTGTGTGTGTGTGTGTGTGTGTGTGTGTGTGTGTGTGTGTGTGTGTGTGTGTGTGTGTGTGTGTGTGTGTGTGTGTGTGTGTGTGTGTGTGTGTGTGTGTGTGTGTGTGGTGTGTGTGTGTGTGTGTGTTAGTGTGATTAGTAAGGATGTAGGGCAGTAACGTGTGTGTGCGTGTGTGTGTGTGTGTGTTATTAGACTGCATTAGTAAAGGATGCTAGGCGCCAGTACCGGTCCCAAACTGAAGAGTTAATCCCTCTCGCCGCCATAGCAACGGGGCATTCTTCATGTATGGACACTTGCTGTTTCAGGACAGAAAGACTCAGTAAAGCGAGACCAGACCCGGGTCTTGCACTAGCCGAGGCATCCCATTCGTTTGTCTGCAATGCACACGCTTGTCTGCCTGCTCTCTCCCCCTTCCCCCCCCCCCCTCACCCCCCACCCCACACACACACACAATCATATGCGCGTCTGGCGTCAAGACCGTCGGCGTGAGAGGACTGGACGGCGCTGAGCTCGTTCTTCGCGTCTGAATCCCGGCCTGGCCGGAGGCCCTGCCGCCGGCTGTTAATCAGCGCTAACACCGTCTCGCCGCCCGCATCCATCAATCATATTTAGCCGAGTTGTACGTGGTTAGAGCAGAGTAGTTCCCAGCTTTCCGGGTAGGCTCCGGCTGGGAAGTTTTGCAGAATGTAAACGCACGAGGAATGACTACAGGCCTCAATGATCGAAATGGCCGACTGGAACAGGGAACTTCTTACTTTGAAACTTACCTGACCGGAAGCGAACCGCCCAGAAGGGAAAAGAACTCGAAACATTTGGATGCAATTCGTTATCTGGGTTAAACACAGACACACGAGGAGGATTTTGTTTGCGCCGACGTGGAGGCAGAATACGTGATCATTCAGCGGAGTCTGGTGACCTGATCAGACCTGAGGGCATGAGGTGTAAGCTCTTGATGTGTGCTCTAAGCTTGGCAAACTGACCTGTATCATTGAGGATTCACGACGCACTCAGCTGCTGAGACTATATGGCATTGCCTGCCTCTCACCCTGGCAGGAAGGGCGGGCACCGCGGGAATCGAACCCCGTACCTCTGGGTTCTCAGACTCGCAGTGGTTCACGCAGACGCGTTAACCACTACACCATCGGCGCCCGGCAAACTGACCTGAGAGCAGGTGTGGTCACTTGACGGAGCTTGACGAACTGACCTGAGAGTAGGAGGTGCCATCACTTGACGGAGTTTGTCAAACCGACCTGAGAGCAGGGGCTGTGATCACTTGACGGAGCTTGGCGAACTGAGCTGAGCGTAGAAGCTGTAATCATCGGACGGTGCTCGGTGATTTAGCCAGGAAACGAGAGGCGTCATCAGCTGATGGGGTCGCTGACCTGACCTGGGAATGTAAGACGCCATCAAGTAACAACTTTCCGGTGCTCCGACCTGGGAGCAGCAGACGTGATCATCTGACTGCTTCGGTAGCCTGACCTGGGAGCAGCAGACGTGATCATCTGACTGCTTCGGTGGTATGACCTGGGAGCAGCAGACGTGATCATCTGACGGGTTCGGTGGCCTGACCTAGGAGCAGCAGACGTGATCATCCGACTGCTTCGGTGGCCTGACCTGGGAGCAGCAGACGTGATCATCTGACGGGTTCGGTAGCCTGACCTGGGAGCAGCAGACGTGATCATCTGACTGCTTCGGTGGCCTGACCTGGGAGCAGCAGACGTGATCACTTGACTGCTTCGGTGGCCTGACCTGGGAGCAGCAGACGTGATCACTTGACTGCTTCGGTGGCCTGACCTGGGAGCAGCAGACGTGGTCATCTGACTGCTTCGGTGGCCTGACCTGGGAGCAGCAGACGTGGTCATCTGACTGCTTCGGTGGCCTGACCTGGGAGCAGCAGACGTGATCATCTGACTGCTTCGGTGGCCTAGCCTGGGAACAGCAGACGTGATCATCTGACTGCTTCGGTGGCCTGACCTGGGAGCAGCAGACGTGATCATCTGACTGCTTCGGTGGCCTGACCTGGGAGCAGCAGACGTGATCACCTGACTGCTTCGGTGGCCTGACCTGGGAGCAGCAGACGTGATCAGACATCATCAGCTGTCGGCACTCCGCGGTGGCTGCCCGACACCACACGGTTAAACGCAGCCCCATGGCGCATGATCAGCTGCCATTTCCAGTCGGCATACCTGGCTCCAGTGCGGCGGTCAGTGAGCCATGAGCCGTCTGCCGGGAGCTGATGAAATCACGGCGCGTGACCCGTGTACCGAGCCCGGCCCGGTGGGAAATCAACGCCGCCCCCACATACCGGCGTCGGCCGGCCCCGGGCCTCCGGTGTCGGGGGCGTCGCCTGCTGTGGAGCTCTTGCTCTGAGGAGGTGACTCTGTGGTGATGGCCGATGTCGGGCTAGACCGCAACTGGTGGTGACGGTACGAGGCCAGGATGGGTTTCACTGCCGCGGAAGGTGGCGGTTTTGAGGCCCCGGTCTTCAACATGCGAGCACTTGCACGCCACGTGTCCGTTGATGGAGTTACAAGACGATTTGAGAATGGTGTCCACTTTCTAATCACTTCTGGTTGTACACTTCGTAGCCTTTGTGAGTGTCTAAGTAGTAGATGCTAGCTGGCAAATTTGCAATTGATTTGGCATGTCACATTACCTTCAGGAATGTGCCATGATCACCTTTTGGTTACCTTTCTCCCGGCCCGAATATTTTTCTTGGAAATCTTCGACACAGACAAGGTCTGTGTCGCTACACACACAACAAAGCTCCCTCGCATTATTATGCGGTCTTACAACATAAGTAACAACATGGCGATCAGTATTTGTCATAGGGAACGCGTTGCGCGTCGTCACGAACCTTTGTATGGAACTTCAGCGACTGCAGTGACCATATTAGCGCCCAGCGGCCATGGGCCAACGGGGACCAGGCCCCCCCCCCCCCCCCACATGGGAGCCGAAGGCAACACCCACTCGGCCATTACGCCCCCAGCGGAACGATCTCCCATTAAAACAGTGTGCGGGGCAGTAATGGAGTGGATGTTGCAAACAACTAAGCGTACCTGCAACAACGCATTATCCCCATGCTGTCGGAGCTGTGACCATTCCGTCCGTGACTTGTGATGTTACATATGGGTCTCGCGGGAGCTAGTCTGTGACGTCTACACGTCATACAGCACTCTTGAAGTCAGTTCATGCTTACCATTATTCAAACCATTGTGCTTCGAATGATGTTCTGCTGTCATTCTGCTTCATTAACCGCGCACATCTTAAGCTCTATTCGCAACAGCTCTATCTTTTGGCGCCGTGCCAAGAGCTCTTCGATTCACTTTGTTTTGTGTCTACTGGGTCTGAGACACGCTTGATCCGCTTTCAGAGCAAGCCTGGATTCGCCATACCTTCGAGTCGCCGTTCTTTGATACAACAACTCCCAGAAACGTGACGGCACTTCAGGGCAAGACGGCTCATCTGCACTGCAAAGTGAAGCGGCTCAACAACAAAACAGTAAGGGCTATGGGCAGTCGGACCATCGTGGTGGGCCGAGCGTGGAACAGATATTCCGCCACAATGCTGATATTCGGCACGTGGCTGCGTCATCTCTTGCGCCAAATTTGTCCAACGGTGTACGGTGCGCTGTTGACACAGGGTCATCGGCGGAAGCATTGCCAGTTATGACAAACAGGTTTTTATACGTCTCGAGCTGAGTCATAAATTTACCCCTCAGTCAGTCGTTTTGAGGTGAGTTGTGAGCTGGGTGGGCTCACTAGGAAAATGCCGCTTTTGAGTCATGAGCTGAATCACATTCTTCCTAAATTTCATGAGCAGAATTGTGAGCCGATCATTTCTAACAATGTTTTGTAAGTGAGCCACATGGTTAAAACAAAAATGACAATGCGAGGAAGCACAGAATTCCCCAAACAAATTAGCGGGCCATTTCAGTGTTAGAATGGCCAGCACCAGCATAAGTTATAAAGCCCTTTTCAAAATCAGCACAAAATTTGCTATTGCAATTTCTAAGCGTCAAACTGAGCATTGTTAATTCTGAACCTAAGTTTGGCAAATTTCGGCCAGAAACTAGAGGATATCACATAGTACATACATCCTTTATTTATATATTGTACGCTAAAAATAAGTAAAACATTGTCCGCTACCTATATTATCCAAGGTCGGGTCGCATTGTTCTTTGTCAGTTGTTACAACAATAAACTAAGCCATGCCTGGCTCCTCATTCACCACTGCTTGAATGGCTGTAAGCATGCTTTTGCTGAGGCTATATGAAAAACAGCAATAGTGGCAAGGTCGTCTCGTCTCATACGCGGATTGTATGTCGTATGTGACCTCCCAGGGCCTGCATCAATAACTATTTCTACGCACCACGGAACTTGCAATTGAGAATTTGTCCTCCAAATTTAGTAGCCTTGGAATGCGATTGGTACATAGTACTCTAACCTCCGCACAGCTCGGAAACCTGATTTGGCCCTTAACTCATCGTAGAGTGACCTGATGAGATGAGTTTAAGGTATCCTGACGGAAACAACAGTCGGCGCCTGCGTTACCTGATCTCAAACTCAGAGGTTCAATTCAGTTTAGGTCAGTTCAGTTCCTTGCTGACTGGAAGGCGGGGGTCGAGTAGAATGGATTTGTGATGGGCTTGTTTGTGAGAAACGTAATTGTAATTCGCAATGCTTATTGTTGAAGAGGGGTACGTTCATAAATGTTAGCAACTTATGCTAGCCAACGGCAATTGCAAGGGCTGCAATCCTATGTTGAATTCCTGGCATACCATCAATTTCAATACGAATGGCATGCAACTGCACTTGGCTGTCAATTGGCGGGTGAGGACAGCCAACTATCAGGTTTTGTGCAGTCTAGTCCACATTGCATGCCTTATAATTAATGGGTCTGGGTCGCACGTGCCAGTTAGACCATGCTATTCTAGAGCTGAGACGTGAGAGTGCAGGTTGGTAACAGGTTACATGAAAGGTACAATTCGATGCACTGCATTTGCTAGGTTCACGCTGCAAACTTGCCACTAGGATATAAGTGTCTATTTTTCCATACCATGTTATATATATATATATATATATATATATATATATATATATATATATCAATGAGTCATACCGCCCACGAGTCATAAAGCAACAAGCCAGAACTTCATCAGGGCTTTGATTTGCAAGCTGCGTGAGTCAGAAGTCAAATGACCCGATGCAAGTAAAAAACCTGAACTAAACTGAATCAAACATTTTGGAACAGAATGAGTCATGGGCTGAATCCGATCACAAAGTCTATGAGTCGGTCCCAATCTTGTTAAAAAATGAATCAACACAAGTCTGGTGCCAAGTGGCACTTCCCGGTCTTTCATTGTTTTTCAATAAAAACATTAGTTCTAGTCATTGCAGCTAATTCACACCGATAGTTTTAGTCGAGTTTCAGGTTTTTTCACGAAGGAAGCTAAGCGCTCGGATGACAGGATTTTGTTGTCTGTTTGTATGCCCTTATTTATTGTTAATCAGACACGAAGAAAAGACTTAGGGAAGTACGTAGCGAGCGGGTCGATACTCATAATTGATCATTCTGGTCGTGTGCCTACAGTGTTCAACATACGTGTGCCCACAAACGGAAATAATGCGAATAGACGTGCGTGCGTGCGTACGTGCGTGCGTGCGTGCGTGCATACGTGCGTGCGTGTTAGTGAGCGAGCGAGTGAGCGAACGTGTGTGTGTGCGTGTTGTACTATATGTTTCCATACGGAAGCCACATCAAAGCATTGCCGTTCTAAACCACGTTTTGCGGTGCGCTCCCTGTTGTTGTTATCCAGTAACTGGAACGTATGGCGGGTGTTGTGCCGCCGAGGCGCAGCTTGTTCATTGTCACGTCCCCCAGGTGCAGCAGGTCGTTTGGCGCGCTGCTGTCACTCAGCAGGCGCAGCAGCGTGCAGTCGGACACAGCAAGTCGCAGCGCGCGCGGCTGCGAGGCGACACGACACCTGTCCGCCCCGCTGACACACGCACCTCGTCGGCAGGTGTCGTGGATCCGGAGCCGGGACCTACACATCCTCACCACAGGCACCGACACCTACACCAACGACGCCCGCTTCCACGTGGCCCGCGACGCGGCGCGCAACGACTGGACGCTCATGATCAAGTTCGCACAAAAGGCCGACACGGGGCTGTACGAGTGTCAGATCTCCACGCAGCCGCTCATCTCGTACCCCGTGTACCTGAAGGTCGTGGGTGAGCACTAGCACCGCGCTGCGGGGGAGACGGCGCGGGTCGCGCCCGCCAGGCGCCCCAAACGTCAGACCCGCGAGTCCCTCACCCGCTCCATCTTTCTGCGCCGACCCCGGCGGACCGGCCGCGCCCGCGCACGCATAATCGACGTTTGATACGGGGCCGACGGCGCGGCTCGCGGCCTGCGATGCGTCTTCGTTCCCCGCGGACCCATTGTGCGCTGGACAGTTGGGTTCCGCCGGTCGGAGCCGCGTCGCGGGCGATCTGTGTAATGGAAGCCGACGTGCCGGCGTGGGCGTCGCTGGAGGGGTTGTGGGCGTACTGACATCCACTGTAAGATTGTGGAGCGTATTGCCACCGTGGGCTGTGGAACTTTTGCCACAGTGGGCTGCGTGTGGGTCCTCATCCTCAGGCGTTTTGTTGAAACCACACTGTGCCTATGGACGTCTCGTCCCGCCTTGTGTGACCGGGCTGTGCCGGCGGCTTTCAGTGCCTGAGGCCAGCATACTGGGGCCTCCGGACATGTTCGTCGACCACGGCAGTGTGCTGAACCTGACCTGCGTGGTCACCAACTCCCCACAGCCGCCAGAGTTCATATTCTGGTACCACGAGGAACAGGTGGGTCACAGAGTGCGTCACATCTGACCCAGAGTCATGCAAGCCATGCATATGTATGCAGGCTGGCCTCGTTCAACCCTGACCGCTTGGGACGGGGCGGGAGCGACCAATTACATGGTGCACTGAGTTTACGCGCGCAGGGACGCTTCAAACGCAACGTAAGGGCCCTTGTTCCGATCTTCATAGACTGGCGTCGTGTATAGATCAGGCAGCGCCGTGATGATGCAGAAAAGTTTTGGAATCTTGTGTCTCAATTCATGTTTGCAGGCTCATTTTCGCGCGACAGAGCTGGTAATGCGGCGCTGAGGCGTGTCGGCTGCGCAAAGCCAGTTTTGCTATATGAATGTCTGAGAAAACTGCTCATGGACTGGTGAATGGTCCGTATCTCGTGGAATATTACTCGAAAGGGTTGGAAAACTATTTAGCCCCTTGGCGGTGAGTGTTGCTGAGTTGAAAGATTCTTTTGACTACGACTGGCCCAAGTTTTCACCTATTTAGGCAGTTCCAACACAGATCGACCCATACTGAAGTAAAAAGAAAGTGAGGTTAAATGCATCAATGTTGAAGTATCCCCTATAGTCCATATTGCAACTGACTTCGAAGAGCTTGTGAGGCATGCACCTTTTTCAGTCATATAGCTTGCATTTAAATGTTGGGTCAACGCTTGCACGGAAGCAGCATCGATTCCTAAAACACATGAACGTGCGGGAATTCAGATGAAGGCGCTAGCGCTGTCCCCCCTCCCCTTCCCCACACACCCTCAGCTCCTTCACTTTCCGGGTTGTGAGTTATCTCGAACCGCAAACCTCCTGAGATGATCATAAAGCACTTTGGCGCTACCTGCCAACGTTCACAAATGTAAACGCATCAATCAGTCTACCTTCCGCCGATGGGCTTTTATTCCACTGACGACCAAACTTTTAGATGGCTCCTGTGCCCCTGATACATAATCCATCTGATTCTTTGAGCGTATTGCATTTCATATGAGTTGATCTGCTATTGATTTTGGGGGCGCGCCGACATTAATGTGACGAAGGACCGGTCATTTCAGCTGTCACTGCATGTTCCAGCACCAAAGTGTCAAGATATATGCATCAATCGCACGGCTGCCGACCCTCCACGTGGTTGATTTATAGTCAATTCGCAGCGCAAAGCGCCGTCCGCAACACGCCCAGACAGCGCTGTCCAGCGCAGGTGGCGGTGCCCTCAAAGGCCGAGGTCGGCGGTTACGCGTCGTCCCGGTGGCGCCCCGGTACCAAAACCACAGCCTCGTGTCGCCGCGCCGGGCTCTTCGCCACTTTTACCGCCACTCGCGCCTGAGAGCCGCTTCTTGCTGCGAAATCCGCCCGTCGTCCGGGTGGCAGCCAGCGGGCATTTTCCGCGCGCTCGCCGGCGCCGGCGGCTCGGCTCGGCTCGGCTCGGGCGGGCCGGCGACGCCAGCGCGTTCCCACGCGACAAAGTCGGCCCGGCCGTCTGCCGCCGCCGCCGCCGCCGCCGGGAGCGGGGCGTGGCCGCCGGTCTGAGCTGCCGCCTGAGGACGGTCAGCTGCTGTGCCGGCATGCATGTTCCGTGGTCGGGCTTGCGTGGCTAATGAAACAGTGGAGACGAACGGGAAGTTGTCACCATCTGACGGATAACAGCCCTGGGCTCTATCGGCGCACTGATTTACTGCGGATTATACGTAGCCGTGCTACTCCCATCATTCTCCGGGTCCCAAGGGCGAAGCAGCAGCAATGTTGTCCGTTTGCTAACATCCGTGTTTTTTTAGTTTGCACGCATGTGTTTCCTTTCCGCACAGTCCCTCCGAGCCAGCGGCGCACGTCTTCTGCATAATTCAGTGGAGCCTTGGTGCATTTCACTGCTGCGTCAGCTCTTAGTAGACGTTTCCGCACCGGTTTTCTTACGGTCAGGGATGCAGCCACCACGTGCGACAAGAGCGGCTACCATGATTTTCGACAGGGGCTTTATATATCGACGAGCGAGTCTCAGCCCCGTTGGCAGTATCGACACACCGCGGACAGACAAACACACCCTGCAAACGCTAATAGTTGTGGCACCCAGTGCATCGAGGAGCTATCGATGTCGGTTTGCATGATGCCTTGAACAACTGTTTCCGTTGTGTACCGTGCATGTGTAATCGGATATCCGCTAGTATTTCTACTAAACTGCGGCTATTGGGCACTGGACATCGCCGCCCATGGGAGTGCCTATGAGGTTTAAAACCAAAAAATTGCCCCTGATCACCAGATTTCGAAATCGTATTTAGTTCGAAATCATATTTAGCAGTATCGTGGTGAAAAATTGCGCTCTGAGATTGACGAAGGGGGGTGTTAAAGTTGCATTAGCCTTTCTCTTCCCCCCCCCCCTGGCTGCACTAATGCCTGAGGTACTCTGGATGCGTTTCAGGGAGTGCTTTTGTGAGCATGGTAAAAACAACCATTAGACGTGACGACACGGTACTGTTCTTTCGCTCAGAATATGCTCTATTTGGCATTGAGTTACTCGGCAATCAACCAAGATTTCGTCGAGACAAGTGCTTCGTGTTCTGGCTTGCTGTACTGTATCGAACTGTGGTTTGAGTGCATCCGTAAATATTTCAACTTTTCTGGTACTTGTTACGATCAACGGTAAACATGGCTTCTTGGAACGACAATGGGATGGGAAATGTAAAGATACAGGGCAGGGCATAGGACTACATGAAGATTTAAGGAAGCATGCCATGTTTTTGTGTACTTTTCACGCTTTGTTAGATCAGGCGCTTCCAATGGAATGGGTAATGACAGTTTTCTCGAATTCCTGAATAGCTCAGAATTTCATCTGAAATATCATTTCCGGAGGGAGAAATATTTTTAGGTCTACTGCTTACGACCATGAAAGTAATACTTTAAATTTGCTTTGCTTTTTCAACGTGTGTGTTCTGTGACGTTAAACAATACACTTATTCACCAAAATACTTGTTAAATAGATGCTGCAAAAGTTTGAAACACTTTTTACGGAAAAGATATGCAAACGTGAGACTATTATTACGCGAGTTCAACGAAATGTTACATTATGGCTTTTCGATTTTTTCCCTTTCACTTTATCATGGTGACTTTTCGATGCAAGCTTTCTGTTCGGACAGCTGAGAACTTCATGGTGGCTTTGGGAAACTGAGTATTACATGGTGTACAGTGACGCACTGGTTCAAACTGCAACCAATGCACTTCTGAACAAATGGCCTTCGCCGCGCCCTGTGCCAATCACAGACGTCATTTGAGCTGACGTCATTCGTACTAACAGAAGTGCCACTTTTAAGTCCGTAGGCCCACAATGTGCGGGTTAAAACAACTCAAAAGTGGTACCTTTAGTCTGCAACAGCTAACGAATGCCCTTAGCAAATTCTGCCGCCGTCTTGACGACCGCAGGTGTCATGGCGACGGCAGGCGCGGCACCTGCGGCTGGCGCGGTCTGCGGCTTCAACTTGGGGATACCAAGGAAGACAGGAGTGTAGTACTGCGGCAAAACGTTGGCAGCGTGACTTGGATTCGGAATTACTTAGAATTGATATCCCCATTACATCCTGATTGAGTTGCAGCGGCACTACCAGTGCTGTTAAGGGCAACTGGCCTTGAGGGCTGCTAGGGTATTTTTTTTCAAATATGCTCCGAAAGTGGGACACTCCCTTGGAGCGCGGTAGACACGGGGTAAAACGCCCAATAGGCTGCAGGGAAAACAGGGAGGACGAGGTAGGCAAGTTAACTACAAAGTAAAATTCGTGAATGACACAATGAGTGATGGCTGCGGTTTTTTCCATCTCCTTAACAGACTGCGGGCTGTTATCACGACGCAGTTGAAGCCCCGAATGCCACAATGATTACCAGCTATTACGCAGATTCATGCCTCCGCGTTTCTGCCAAGGATATTTATTGCGAAGCGTTTGTAGTACTGGACAACTGCAGTCAGAAACGTTGGTGCCTCTCGTAATGAATATCATGCTCTGATACGTGACTCCTCTGAACCAAGTTAGGTATAACCACAATGGACCGTAAGGGAATTCGACTCCGTGTTAAGCCATATTTTCTTTAATCGTTATCGCAGCATACTCAAAACAATGTTGTGATTACTGAAGTCAGAGCCGGAACTGGCCTCATCTTATTCCTTATCATCGGTGGATGGAGTCAGTCAGTTGCTGCTATTTGCTATTATTCCTGATAAACGTGACACAAATCTTCGGGAACTAGGCCCTTTCAGACTTTACTAGCGTTAGGGCTATGAATATTTCCTTGTGAACTTATAGTCTTTCTATCGTAGTCCAAAGCTTTGTCTGTAGATGAAACGCTCACATTAAGGTCAGAGTGCTATTTTGAAGGTTATGACGAAAGTAGTATGCAACAAATGCGTGAGGCCAATCATTGCTGCCATAAATGACATTACTTAGTGATCATAGCCACCCAACCATGCATGGACAATGAATTCTGACCAAATGTGGGGTATAAAAGGCTACGACCGCTTTCAAAGTCAAAAGTGTTAAAGGTCAAGTACCATTTTACTGCCATGCACTGAGAAAAAATATCCAGTGAATTTCCCACGGCTTCAGCCTTCTAAAAAGCGTCACAATGAGTCCAGAAACGGCTCATTTAGATAATATTTTATCAGGTACTGTTCCTGTATCAGATACTTTGACCCTGGACTTTCTGAAGCGTCATTTTTACCCTTGAAAGGACGATTTGGATTGTCTCACGACACTCCGAAGAAAAAAAAACGTCTAGGGGACTTACGACGACGCTCAAGGGTCATAATGGAGTCATGGAAAACGTGACATCGTACATCTGGTCCGGCTGCCGCTGGCGGCAGTTGGTGTCTTTTCGAAACCTCCTCCCCCTCAAACCTCCATGCCGGTGCCTTTGGTCATGCCATTCGTTACTGATAACGACGAGGAACCACAATACGGAGGCTTCCAACGGACCGGCCGCTGTGCCGGCTAATGTCAGCCTGTTCGCTTGCCAGGATTTTGGGTGTTAGTCGCTGCACTGCAGTGCTAGCGAGGTCGGCCATGCTGAACGTGGGCTCCGGCAGCGGGAATGATCACAACTATTTAGGCACACGCGCCCGGTGGCTGGTTGAATAGTACAAATCCGGGTGGGGTGAGAGGTGGTGGGGGATCAATTTGACCACACTCAGATATCAAACATCTTAGGTGACATCAGTTTTCAGGGTAGGTACATCTGTTGGTAAACCCCTTGTGTGAAATTCTGAGGTGCTTAGGTCATGGCCGTCGGGTCATTCCCTCTAAGGCAAGGTGACTGGTACTTTTTAGAGCAGTGACCTTTTTTGAGCTTCAGAAGGTCATGATCACCGAAATCTACGAGACCGTTGTTTTTAAGTTACGCAAGTATTTATAATTAGATAATGCGGTACTGTTATCTCAAAAGCGCTGATCGGGATCATTTTAGGCCGTTGATCTCCTCTGACTTTTATAAAAGTTCAGTTGATCTTTCTATGATAAAGGAATTCGAAACGAGCGTCAACAACTGCCTAGCTCAGCAATTTCTCCAGAGAGAAAAAAAAAGTTTATACTCAGCCTAACCATGATGTTCAAGTTCATTGGAATAAGTAGTAACGTTGAATTCACCTGTCTAAGTGACTATCTGAATTATGTATGGTTTCGTCCAACACTCCGTTGTCATATCAGGTTGAACGGTGCCCTAGGAAATGCCTTCGCTGACAGTCATGGTTTGACTTTGGCCTGTCATAGTTCAGTGACCTGAGAAGTTTTACCTGCATATTTATGATTAAACGGTCGGCATTTTCATTGCTGGCTATGCAAAGTTTGGCATCACTACCACGTGCCGTTCGGAAGTTGTCCTGGAAGTACACGTGGGGTTCAAATTAACTCTCCGAGTGTTACGAGGCTTTGTAGAGAATTCAGAGGAAATGGACTTGTGGTGCGTATCTCCTTGTGAGTTTGTACCAAGCATAAGCGTTACGTCAGTCTGCAAGATAATTTTGGCTTTGTTACAAGGTATGTGGGACATTGGGATTGCTCTCCTTTCAACAGAATCTGTATTTTCTCCTGACTGCAGCAATGCTAAGCTTCACAGAAAATCCATGCCGAATATTTTAAGGCCGTGGAGTTCAGCAATCGCTGATCGATTTTAGCCACCGCGTGCCGTCCGATCTGAGATCAATATGAAGATCAGAATCAATGATTCCTAAGCTCATGTGAGTTTATTTTTCACTACAGATATGAACATGGATAGAAAGGTCAATAAGGCTGCAACGCTGTCAAAAAACGTGCAGGTAACGTGATTTTGGTTTGGTGATATTGATGCCATACTATTTTCTGGCCTCTATGCTATACTTTTCTGGCCTCTTTGCTGTCAGTGCTGACGTAGTCACTTATCGGAAGATCACTTGCCGCCTCTATCGATACGTTTGCGAAATGAGCGGTTAATTAGTGCTGAAAAAATGTTTTGGGATCGCCCGATAATTTTGTGCTACGGGTAAAAAAACTTGGTGCAATTTTGAAATATTTGGTCAATGGAGGCGAATTTGCGGAAACAAACTATTCCTATCGATTTACGTCAAAATTCTCTTCAATCCTACGTACACAATGAAAACACCAATTTGACCAGACACTCTCCCTTTAACTTTTATCTAAAACCCGAAAGAAACTTAAATGAAGTCTTAGGAAAACTGACACAGACAAAGAAATGCAGCTGGCAAATCCTGAGATTTGGAGTCGGTGTTTTCCATTTCCTCCTAAAGCGCTCCATAGATGGCAATATACATAGATTACAAATTTCGGGCAGGACTTGACAAAACCTGACAATAGCGAAAATCTCAACATAGGGATCTCCTTTCATTTCGTGTTTTAAAACCCGGCAAGTTAAAGCATGACATAAATTGCATCTCCGACAGTTTTACTTATATGGTTTTGCTGTTACATAAATGCAAACAGATCTAACTCAACCGTATTCCTCCTTAAGAACGTACACAAGGTTGACCATTCGACGCTTTGAAAGGTAAACACATCCTTCAGTACCAAAGCCTGAATGACCATGCCAATAATCAATGCCGAAACAATGTGGACAGTGCGATCAAATTTGACGTTGACAATTCAGACAGTACAATTAGATTAGACGTTGACAATTCAAACAATACAATTCAGATTTGACAATTCAGATTTGGTGTTGACCAGATAACGGACGATGACCTTTACTAGGAATGTAATTCTAGGTTCGGAAGGTCCAAGTTTATCGACAATAGTATACCGAGAAAAAAAGCAGGATAAGAAAGACAATTTTTTATATATATACTAACAATGACAAACATATCAGCACACATTGACAGCAAGGTGAGCGTGCTTTTTATCGCGGCATGGACCTATTGTATATTACTTTTGTGAATTGGTTGGAAAAAGTTGATGGCTGTAATGGATATTTCAATGCCAGATAGCCATGTTCTGTGTGTGCTTAGTTTTGAAAGGTAAGCAACACTTGGAAAGGTTTTTCTTAGCCAAAAGGTTCTTATTTTCAAACCAAAAAATACCCTTACATACAACAATTTGTTCAACCTGATCAAATCTTGAAACCATGAAGAATGACATTGGAGCTGAAGTATTACCAGTTGGTCCCTGCCTTTCAATGGCTCTGGATCTTAAACATGATATCTGCGGTGGTGCGCAGAGGGGATCGCCTCAAACACATTGCAATTGGTCAAAATGAGTACTCCGGTCTTGCAGTCATTTCGTACAGCTCTTTCCCCGGTCCACATACCCGCCCATAAAATATGGCATATATTGTTCAGATAGCGTTGGGGCAGCACTGAGGTACACCACCAAACATGGGGTAGCATCTGAAAAACTTTGGGGCAGAAATCGTGTAAGCACTTCCTTGGGGCACTACAACTACCTTGTGACCTGAATGAATGAAGTCCCGTGAAAATAATATGTGGAGTTAACGACTATGTAAATTCTCCCAAACTGGGGAGGGGGGACTGCAACGGCAGCCCTGTTAGGCCATTGTTTCCAGTCAACGCCCACTGGGCCATAGATAATTTTTTTTCAGAAAGATGGGGGAGAGCTCAGCTCGTTCTGGCTCTCTTAGTTTTCAGGCCCGTATCTCCTAGGTTACTTGCTTGTAGGGGCAGTGACACGACTGGGAGGAGGGATACTTGGGGTAAGATTCATCCGTTATTGGTACCCAAGCATTTCGCTGGTACCAAGCAGGGCTTTAGTTTGGCAGCCCCACCCCGCCCCCAGCCCCCAGAGCAAGCTGAGGAAAGGCCATAGCTATTGCGAAAACACGCTACACAGTAGGATTATCCCCGTATTTGACAGACTGTGCCCCCAGAGTGGATGGGCTGGAGTACAGCCCTACTTCTTCCAAGTGAAAGGAAGCCATGGGTGTGGGAACGGGGGGGGGGGGGGGTTGGAGGGCAGCAATGTTAACTGGTCCCCACTTTTCAGATTTAGGTAGCATTTAGTTTACTTTTGTACTACCTTAAATATACATGCCGATTGACCTAGTTAACCAGCTATCGTCCCCGAGCTGCGTCATCTTGCCCATTGGCCATCGCTTAGCGTCATAGCCGCAAGCCGACGCAGCGCGGCCTACGGAGACTGCAGCGCCGGGCGTCAAGGCTGTTGTTGCGAAAATTTGTTAGCGCGCATGTTCAAATCAATGTTACACAACAATAAAGGTCCTGGTTTTGACTGATTTCACATGGAATGGCACAGAAGGGCCAGAGTTCGCCAGATTTACCAAATTTACCAGAGTTTACTGAACAGATCCTTTGACTATACATGGGTGAAATCAGAGTGAACCCATCTGAAACAATAAGGCTTTGATAGGGGTATACAAAACTGACATGTAATCAAATAAAAGCAAAAATTCAACACACCAGAATTTTAGAAAATAAGTTGGAGGAATTTCGAGTTGAAAATGTTAGCTGTTGAGCAAGAATCTGGGACAGCAAACTTTGCATTGTTAAGCAGACAAGTATAATTTAGGAACGTGCGTGTGCCGTCAGATCCTGATCTGAAAGGAGAGTCTCATTTTAAGAACCTTGTTGCATGGTCATTAAGCTACGCTCAATAAGGTACCCCAGACCCTCTGACCTACAATGTGCTGATAGCCATACTGGTAAAATAACAACGGCTGACCAGTGCTGCCTTACCTGGCAGTTCCCGCCTGTCGGGAGCGGCGGCGGGGTGCGCTCCACTGAGCCGGTCCTCCGCACGGCAGGTGATCAGGTACGACTCTGCCCGCGGCGGCATCAGCGTGGTGACGGAGCAGGGCGAAGTGACCACGTCCCACCTGCTGGTGCGCCGGGCCGGGCCGGCCGACTCGGGCGTCTACACGTGCGAACCGTCCAACGCCCGGCCGGCCACCAGCCGCGTACACGTGCTCAATGGTGAGTCGGCGGGAGCGGACCGTAGGGGGGTATGGCTGGTATCGGGTCGCCACAGCCCTCTGCGCCTTTTGGCCCACGGCTCTTCTGTTGTTGATACGGTGTCCGGCGGAGGCGCCGACGGTTTGCCAAATGTTTCCTCCTCTGTCACTTTGACAAGGAGTGGCTCCTGTCTGGGAGAAAAAGCTCGGGAAGTTGTGTTTAATCTTGAGTAGCACTGGAAACCGCTCCGATCAAGCAGGCGCTGAAGAACATGGCTGCGCGCGCCACAGAGTGGAGGCGTTAAGTGACGAGTCGGTGTACTCTGCAAAGCACATTTCATGGAGTCCAAGGCTTTCGGGTGCAGGAGATCGCAGCCTCTTTCAGCTCCACATCAGCATGGGACGGTGGCTGGCGCTGCGTCAGCAGCTCCAAAACAGCCGGGCAAGTCGCGTGCGGATGACGCCAACTGTGCCAGCGCACTGACGCGCGCCACCGGCTGATAATTAGCCCCCGCGGCGGCCTTCTGCCGGCAGCTGCCAATATCCGGCCGGGGGTGCCGCGGGCGGCCGGTGCGACGGCGCTAAGCGTCGTGTTCCGCCGGCCGTCACTCGGCCAGCCGGCGGCAAACGGCCGACCGCTCGCCGGCGCGGCCGGGTCCCCACCGGCTTCGCCATGGCTGGCGGTGTCCCGGCTGATGTGTCCTGGCTGAAGTGTCCTGGCTGGATGTGCCCCGGCTGACTGTGCCATGGCGAACACCAATCACTCACAACCAAGTGGATACATACAGTGCGACAATGATAACCTTGCATTCAAGCTCAGCTTTTGCTGATCCATGTAGCGCAATGTTGAATTATGTGCGATCTGCGTCGAAAGACGTGTCCGCAGGACGAGTCCACTATTTCCTTGCCACATTATGGCGGCCGCGCTGTGAATTCATGGCATAGTACGTTCTGTGCGCGAATCCAATATGGGACGCCTCGATGGCATCTTCCATTACAGAGAGAAGAATGGCGGCCTTTTTCTTGGCGATTTATCGGGACAGGCTTGTCAGCATAACAAATTGAAGTATTTCAGACAACCAAACTGCGAATTGCCAAACACGTAAATATGGATCGGGTAGAGCCTAGAGGCATGGACAGGCCTTGTCTTCAGATAACGGCATGGTATATGGAAACCATCTAGCGCCCTAGAGAAAAATCGTTACGCAACAAGAGTGCCGCGTTCATGCGACGCGATAGCGGACCAGTGGGTTTTGGTATATTTGTAATTGATATGATTGAGGATGAATGCAGCTGGTTTTAGTATAATTGTAGTTGGTATGATTGCGGGATGAATGACCGTTAATACGCACATCGCCGGCGCGCCCTGCAGGCAGGTATCCGTAGTTCATGGGTCATTGATGACCCTACAGTCCCTCAGTATAACTCATCCAATGATGCCCTGTTGACCGTCCCCCCTCCCGCGTCAGATTAAAAAAAAAAAACATTTGCCGGGGACAAAACCGCCCGTCATTGTTTCCCGACGAATGCTGAGCCATGGGCAGCACGCTCTCCGTGGTGAATATGCTCACAGGAGGGCATGAGTGCGGTGGTGCGTTGGAGTGTACTGTCAGTGCATGCATGCGGACGGCGGAAGTTAGAATATGAGGATGTTCACATACAAGGCCGGGACTAGCGCGGCTCCATTATTCCCTGCCTGCTGCGGTATGATGGCGGTAGATGCGTGATATGGCGTTCGGTTTACTGCGACAGAGGGAAGCACTCCTGCTGTATTTGACTCGTCTGCGACAGCAAATACTGTAGGGGACATACTATGATGGCTGATAAGTATAATATCTGTACATGTTCAGCATATATAGGCATGCATATACGGCACGAACAGGTATAAAGGCATGCATATACATGCACAGGCAGGACAAATGGGATTTCATGTGACTGAACAGGCAGGATATACAGCCATACAATGAATAACGCTCCCAAGGTAAACAGGAATGCCTTACGTATTATGAAGACCAAGTCACGATCGATTGGTACATAATGCGATGCCACGTGGGTGGGAGGACTTAGGCAGCGCTTTGTCATGTGCCATCAGTTAAGGTCTTTCCTAATCTGTGACGTCCTGTGCTCACGAACAGAAAACAACACAGTCATATGTCGAAAGGCTCTCAATGCATCGTGTTTCCGGTCATTGAGAAGCAATGGCAGTACGGGTCCGGCGTGATGACGGAGAGGTCCCCTCCTATGCTATGAAATCTATTGTCCCAGGCGCTGACATGACTGGTTGAATTCATATTTTAGGAGATGTGCATTTGACAGGGGCTCCAGTAGTACGGAACAGTTTATGCTCCGACAACATTATACGCCCATAAAAATGATACTTTGCAGGCTGCATAAAATTGCGGTACAAGCCGATGATTTCATGGCTTTACCCTGTGTGGGCTTCGGCATGCTGTGCGCAGAATTTAAATCGCTTGGCGTAGGCTTCAGCATGTTGCAAATAAAACAGAATGATATAAAGACGACATGGCCGCCTTTCGGTCGCCCTTCGCGCCCCTGAGCGTCGCACGGCCCTGCACTGACTAGGTCATTTCTGGATGATGTATTCGTCTACACCGCACAGCTGGTTTCAAGATGTTGTCTGGGATGCCGAGATTTCACACATGGCCCATAACACGGGTTAGTTCCCTGTTTGGCCGAATTCGTGCAGTTCGTATATCTGAGGTTGGTTATGTATATATATATATATATATATATATATATATATATATATATGCGTGTGTGTTTGTGTGCATTCTTGGAATTATGGTATATACGCACCTAATTAGCTGTTTATGAGCGGCTTCAAAAGAGCCAAGTTAATGAGGCCGCCGTGCAAAAGTTTACTGGGGAGGCGAGCGTCAACAGCAAAGCACCACATCTAGATGTTGACGTGGATGCCTCTACTAGGAACTTCCGGACTCAAGCACACTGGAAGTCGACCAACACGGAACACTGCCTGAGCGGACGGTGGTGGTTCTCAGAGCGCTTCAAGGAGCGTTATATGGGCCTGCGGAGGTATATCGTGCGTTTTAAAACTACTCGTCCTGGAACCCGTTGCTCCTGGACCTCCAGATTAAAAAAAATACTTACCAACAGCAAGCACAGTGTTGCTGCAATCGCCATCCAGATTCGGAGGAAGATGGAACAAAGCTGCCAACCAACAGCTGACAAGACACCTTCTGGCAGCACGCACAGACTGGTCTACCAGAAAACCACGTGGACGCCCCGATTCAAGAACAAGAAGGTACTGCGGACTGCATCACCACAAATGGCACAGAACGCCACCCTGAAGACAACATCCAACTGGTCGTCTCCTACAAAGCCCAAAAGTGTCCAGTTTGCTCACAATAAATAAGATGCACAAGATCCTTTCAAGCTGACCTTTACCAGCGTAGTGCACAAGTTCAACTACATGTCCTGTGATTGTGCGCACCGTACTGACTGCTGCCACGTTGGTGACGTGCTCAATAAGAATCACCATGCATCTGCAGAACGGCCGCCGAGAAGCATATTCGCAGCTCACATAACACGGGACTGACACGCAGAATGTACGAAGGAAATGCGACGATCTTAGTGACCGTCAGGACAAAATGACGTTTAATGGAATGTTCCACATTTGAAGACATTGAGCTAGGCATCAGATATGATGGGAAATGCCTCCTTGTAACTATTGGTGAGCATTCAAGGTTCAAAAACGACGCTCGGTAGCAAAGTTTCAAAGTTTCTAAAAATGGGCCCCATTAGGTCGTCGTTTGATGGCGGCAGGAAATGGGTTTGTGACGACAGCAAAACCTGGCAGCATCTGGCAACCAGACCTTACGAACAGCTCGAAACGCACGAAAGCTGAAGCCAACCGGCCATTCTCGTCGCGGGGGCTGTGTCGGGGGGCGAATTAGTGGGTGGGTTATTTGTGGATTTTTTGTCTCGGTGCTGACCGTAAGAAAAGCTTCCGTGGACTGTTTTACATGCGCAACGTAGCGATCGCTAGCTTTTATGACAGATAATTATCAAAGCACGATATGCTGTGCTGCTGCTGTTTGCTGCTTTGCTGTTGATGATTTTGTCAATATTTCATTGTCGACCCATCGTTGCGCGCAGTGCTGTAGTCCTGACATTGATATTCTGTGATGTGTGCAGCAGTCACTGTCATTATTTGCAACTGGAAATGGGGTGTCGTGCCAAAATTAATAAATTTGCAACATTGTCGTTGTTGTTTGTAACTGGAAATGTCGTGTCATGCGTCAACTAATAACTTTGTAATGTCGCCATGCATTGATTGTCACAGCATTGCTATTGCTTTGGTAAAGATGGTAACGTTGGGTACCGGGATTTTTTTTTTTTTGCTTAGGATTATTCATGCAATGAATAAGTTAACCCTGATAAAACCACTGTGGTGCAACGGCATTCTTGCCGTAGATAATCCTTTGGCATTGTTAAATAAATTTTTACCAGTCATTCATAAATTATAAGCTGCTATCTCACAGGCTTGACATAGAGTACTCAACCAATGTGGTACATTGTGTAATGTCACTGGTCAATAGCTTTATTGTGGCGGTATCTCGGTGCTGTACTGTGGCATGACATAACTGAATAACAATATGGTTTTTCGACTGCAATCCATGCCGCTTTCATAATAAATTCCAGCATGAAAGATGAGTTAAGCATGCGCTCTTGTATTTACCTCCCATCTGACATATGACTGACCAAAAACACATGATACAATATACGAATCACTTTCAGCAAAGCAGACAACCAATAAGTGGCATCACTTGCTCAGCCTGCTACGGGAATCCAGAAAATGTAGGTGAGAAAGATGCAAACACATATTTCACTTCCATGGTAATGCAACATGCTGCAGCCATCAGGCTGCTTTACTAGAAAATAACAGGAAGATTTACATGTAGTGAAATGACACTGCAAACATGCTGACCTTGCGCAAGGCTGGAGACATGGCAAGTACATGTAGTTATGGTTGGATGGGTA